CCCAAATCCCATCCCCAGGCCCGAGGCTGGCTGCAAGGAGCCAGAAGTGCCTGCTGAGATGTCGGGAATGTCCCCAAATGGGGATGGGCTGGGTGACACCCGGTGTTGGGTTCCTCACACTCGGGACTCCAGCGGCCGTAAGGTCAAGTAGATGGGTTTATCAGGGATCAGGATGAGATCAAACTTGGTCCCAACTTCCACTGCTCTCATGGTTTCAATCTTGAAGTTTTCCAGGATCTGGGATGGAGGAGAACAGAGAGGATATGTTGGATGGGGCTTGGAGCAACCAGCAACCCTGCCCCATCGTGGGGGTGTTGGAAGGAGATTATCCTTAAAAGTTCTTCCAGGCTAAACCATTCTGTGTTTCTCTGGAGAACGCTGAAGTTCTCAACACCCATGTGCCACCTCCCCAGTCCCTTCTGGCTCTCAGTCCCGTGTCCCCAGCAGTGGAACACTCACCTGCATGAGGAAGAGCTGCATCTCCAGCTCAGCGATGCGACGCCCCAGGCACTGCCGTGGGCCAAAGCCAAAACTCAGCCCCTGGAAGTGCTTGGGGCCTGCTGCCAGCCAGCGCCTGCTCTGGCTTTGGGAACACCTCAGGATCTCGACCCATGGCATAGAGACCAACCTGCACCAGCGTCTGCAGGAGGGATCAACACCGTGGGTCAGCGTGACTGGGGTGCAGGGATGGCACCTGGCACCAGACAAGCCCCAGGGCTGCCCGTCCCATGTCACCCACCCATACTTCAAGTCCCATGGTGGGGTCAGGGTGAGGAGGGCGTAGTGGCCATGCTCACCTTGGGGGGGATGCAGTAGTCCTGGAGGATGACCTCTTGTGTGGTGTACCTCTGCAGGGTCACCGCCACAGGGTGCAGCCTAGGGGGACACGCCCCACATGCCTGATTTGGGGCACAGCCTGGGCCACCCTTGTCCCACCTCAGTGGGGAGCAAAGGGGCTGGGGGTGTTATTCAGTGAGAAGCTCCTCCTCACCTGAGTGTCTCCTTGATGGCAGCTTTGAGCAGTCGGATGGTTTTCAGCATCTTCACCCTGTCCCCTGCTGCCTCCCGCTTGGCAGCCAGGACCTCTGCCCTCAGCTGCTCCTGGACCCCTGGGGCTCGTGCCAGCTCGAACATGGCCCACTGCAGCGTCATGGATGTCTGGAGCAGAGCAGGGGAGCAAGGCTCAGCACCAACCAGGACCTTCTCACTGCCCAACCACCCCTGCCCGCTCCGTACCGTGTCCACCCCGCCTGCCATCATCTCCGTGACACTGGCCCTGATGTCCTCCAAGGGCAGCTTGTCCCTCATGATGAGGTTGCAGAGGATGCCCATGTACTCCTTGGTGCTCTTGCGTTGCAGCCGTAGGTCCCGGTAGACGTTTTGGATGCATTTGTCAGCTGAGGAGACGTGTCATGACACCATGTCATGCTCTTCGTCCCCCAGGAACAAAGTGGAGGAGGAAGAGACCTTAGGATACCACTTTTCCAGGGGAGATGCCTTGCTGGAGGGTTGTCCCTGGTGCCTAAAGCTCTCTGAGGCCACAAGCCCCTCTGGGATAGCTGATCCCCTGAACATTCTGCCCATCATCTGCCCTTCATTGCTCCTGGATGGTTCTGCACAGATCCATCCCACAAGCTCCAGACGTGGAAACCCTTCCTGGCCTTGGTGGTTGGATCCAGGATAAGGTCTCCATGCTGGTGACATGAGGCTGCACCATGGAGCCACAGGGACCTCAGGTGACACAGGGAGGAGCAGGCAGGAGAAGCACTCACCCTGGGAGAAGATGGCATCCCAGGCCTGGACGTGGTCCCTCCATGTCTTGGTGTTGAGGTGGCGGAGGAGGGTGGGCGGCAGGTAGAGCATGGGTGAGGTGGTGTGAAACATCAGGGTGACAGCATCAATGAAACGCTGTGCTTCAGGGTCCACAAAGTCCTGCAGCAGCCCCAGTCGCTCCCCGTACAGCACATGGCACACAGCTGCAAGGTCAGCACCTCTCAGGGGACCTGTCTCTGTCCCCTCCACTATCCCATGGCCAGCTCCAGCCCTTCCAAAGCACATGGCTCAGGATTGTGTTCAGATGGTTCTGGATATCTCCAGTGAAGGAGACTCCACACCATCTCTGAGCAACCTGTTCCAATGTGCAGTGACTGCACAGTAAAGAAGTTCTTCCACATGTTCAAGTGGAACTTCCTGGGCATAAGTTTCTGCCCATTACCTCTGGGTTTATGGGTTTGCAAAAAGCTGATGACCAGCAGATGATAAAAGAGTTTTTAGCAACAATGTTGAGTTATTCTCCACTTGTCTGGAGAGAGGACATCCTGCCTAGAGAGAGGACATCCCTCTACACCCTACAGCTTTGGGGAGAAGCTTGTTGGCCAATCTCTGAGGACGAAGCTGGGAGAAAGGGGCATTTTTGGGAGGACACACATCTTGCAGAGGCTCATGCCCCTGCCACTCACACTCCAGGGCGAAGCGGAAGAGCTCGTGGGTGAAGTCAGCTGTCCAGCGCTCCCGACCGCTCTGCTCCACCTGCGCTCGTGCCCTCCGGACAAAGTCCTCTCCCACCTGGTTGAGCAGAGGCACAAATCCTTCCACCACCTGTGGTGACAGCACCTCCTTGTTCAGCATCAGGCGGTCTGAGCGCCAGGCCTCCCCCGTCCTGCAGGACACCAAAGTGAGGGGTCAGGGGTGTCCCCCAATCCAAGGGATGCCACCCTGCAAAGCACAGGGCCAACATCACCCTCTTAATGCTCCAGCTTCTACCCTGATGCTCCAGCTTCCCCCCAATGCTTCAACTTCCCCCCCAACTCTCTAGTTTCATCTCTGATGCTCCACTTCCCCCCTTGATGCTCCAGTTTCTCTCCTCATGCTCCAGCTTCATCCCTGATGCTCCAGCTTCCGCCCAGTGCTCTAGTTTCATCCCTGATGCTCCATCTTCTCCCCACCCTGTGTGCTGGGGCCCTGTTTGAGGCCCCCCCCGACTCACTTGAGGAGGACACCGTAGGGCTTGTTGCGGAAGTCACGATATGCCACCCAGGGGGGCACACTGAAGCGCTCTGGCAGTGTCCCCTCTGCCTGGAACAGGGTGGCAGCATCCTGAGGGCTGATGATGTTCACGCTCTCGTACACACCCAGCTTCTCTCTGGTGGGGTAAGGAGCGGGGTCAGCCCTGCACCTTGACCCTCAGCACCCCCAAATCAAACACGCTTTCCCCTCACACTCCCTAAAGTCCTGCTGGAAGGTCCAATCCTGGGGAATGCAGCTGGTCAACGCCAGGATCAGGCCCTCAGGGCTCAGGTGGGCATAGAGAGAGATGCTGAAACAGATCTCCCCATTTCTCCCCAGCTCCATACCCTGTGGAGATCAGGGAGGTCAAAGTCCTTTCCAGCCCCACCATCCCATCTTCCCAATATTCTGCATCTACAAGAAACTGCTCCCCACTCCCAGTCCCCTCTCAGTGCACAGGGCCTGTCCCCTCCTGCTCCATGGTCCTTGTCCCCTTCCAGGGCACAGGATCTGTCCCCTCCTGTTCCATGATCCTTTTCCCCTCCCAGTGCACAGGGTCTGTCCCCTCCTGTTCCATGATCCTTTTCCCCTCCCAGTGCACAGGGTCTGTCCCCTCCTGCTCCATGATCCTTGTCCCCTCCCATCTTGTCCATCACTGTGGCATCAAGCCTGGCTGACACACAGCAATCCAGGGCTCCTCCAGCGGCTCAGCCACCTCTTCCCCTATCCTCACTCAGAGCAATGCTGAGACCAGCATCCCCATCCCAGACTGGAAATGCCCGTGGGGCTGTGGAGCAGGGAGGGGACGCGGCGACTTTAAATTGCCCCGATCTGCAGTCCCTGGAAAGCCATGATGAAGTGGACGTTGTCCAAGCCTCCCTCCTGCCAGAAGCGGTACAGGTTGAGCCACCCTGCTCGCCACTCGCCTGGCAGCTGGTTGAAGGGCCGAGGAGTTGAGGTGATGGCATAGGGTTGGCAGCCCCCCCGAGCCGGCGGCACCCCGCGGCAGGGGCACGTCCCCGCAGGGAGCAGGGCTTGGGTGCAGCGCGGGCGAGCATGGAAACGGCGGCAGGGAGGGACGGGTG